CGGCACGCACACCGATAAATCGGTGTGCCACACCTCGCTTGGAATACGAGGTCGCCGACGCACAACTATTTGCCTCACACCCTCCCACGAGCGGCGAGCGCAAATTTTCGCATCACACCACTAGCGATTTAACGACTTTACTGCGTTTCTCGCGACGGGCGCTCAGGGTCAAACCCACGCCCCCGTCTTCCACACCCGATGGACTTTCATCCACCATCATCTACGGGGAAAGGTATAAGTATCACCCTTCTCCCCCCGTCCTGACGAGTTGATCATAGGTCAACGAAACAAACGATCAATCTCTTTTGATTATTGTCGACACTTTGTTTCACGATTACAACAACTCTCACGTCCTCTTCCCATCAGCACAGCTGTCCGCCCGGCAAGAGAATCGCCTCGCTCGCTTCGCTCGCTCGGCTCACGCGAAGGATGGTGGTGTATGTGCTCGTAGGCCGTGAACCCGGGATTGAACAAATACCCCCAAAATACAGGATCCGTCCGGAGTCTTTGAGACCCTCTCACACTTCTAAAGCCATCATCTATCTCAAGCAGCAATATCGATGTTCTCGCTCTCCCCAATCAACCATCCGCCACAAAGCTACCCACCAGTCCGACCTATGACCCCGGAGATTCAGAAGATACAGTTTTGGTGTCAATGCTCCTGAGAAACTATAAAATATCATACTATTATAAAAACCCAGCCATGCGCTTCATAACCAACCCTCGCTACTCAAACAATCACTGAAACATTATTGACCGCAAGGCAAAAAAGCACTCCCGAAACCATGACGAAAACCCATGGATGGCATCACTAATAAATCGCCGGTAGTTCACAAATCCACGATATCCCCCATCAGGAACTTTACTAACGTACGAGGAAGCATAGCAAACCCATTGCGCAGGGAACATCCACCCAAACAGTTGCTCCAAAGGAGTGACCAAATCCTCCCCTCCGCCCCCTGGGGCAATCCCATAAAAAAAATTACCTCCGCAGATAGTGAGTGATCTTAAAATCAGAGCCAACGACATAGCGAAAGAAAGCAGCGAGGAAAGAAAGATATAAAATAAAACAAATAAAAAAAACTCCCCATGGTTGACAAACACCGCGCTCCAAGCTCTATAACACAACCAACCCACTCCAGACCGGCGAGCATCAAGTGGCAAAGTCGGCGGTAACTTCACCATAGCTGTGCCGGGTAGTAACTAGTCAGTGAGCGAAGACTTTCGATCAGGAACATGGATAACTCACCGGACGCCGTCGACTCTCAGCTCGAAGAGAAGTGCTGCACTCAGGACTGACATTTCCATTGTGAAATGCAGCCCTTCATATTCTACGTCCTTGCTGTTGCGGCCTTTTGTGTAGAGGGACTTGGGCACTGTGGTTAGGTCTGAGCGGAGTTTGCAGACAGTTGTGACGGCTGGGGGGATGTTAGCCGGTGGCAAATGGGGACATTTTTAGAAGGGAAGTTACTAGAGTCAATAGATTTTGGCGGGAAAGTCTCCTGACAGCAAACCAATTCGTCCACGAGCACCCTGCTATGATGGTCTTCGAAGGTAATATAGAACGGGAAAGAGATACTCTCGTCTTCAGACATCTCCGTTCCCTGAGAAGTATTAGTCACATAACCAGTAAAGCTACATCAGCGCAACAAACCTTTGCAATGTACCATTTAATCTGGTTCTCCGCGAGCCATTTCTCCCGTGTGGTGTCCCAGTACTTGTGTTCTTCGGAATGAATGTTTTCATCAAAGTACTCCCAGTACTTAACGCCGTAGTGGTACCGCGATTTACGGGTTTGCACAATTGTCTCCATTCCACGGATAACCGCGCCGCGGACCACAGCAGTCCACGAGTCGACGGGTTGAAGTACCACATCCGGGTTGTCCTTTGTTGACAGGATATCGGCATACTTATTCTTCAGGCGCATGAAAAGGTATTCCGATGAACCGAAACCGCCAACAAGTAGAATGCTCTTTAAGGGGGTATTAGTGTAAGATTATATATACATTGATTCCGTGTAAATACCTTTACTTGTCTCCCCTTAGATTGCACAGCGGTGATCTGGCCATCAACCAGTCTCACAACCTCCTGGATGACAGGCTCAAATATGGCTTGGACTTCCTCCCTATATCCTAAATTAGCAATACCAAACCCACTTCACTTGCAATACCCTTACCTGGTGACCGTCATAAACCCGCAATCAATTCCTCGAGCTTCATCGTCTGGTAATCCCGGAAATTGGATTGGGAACACCTACAACAAGTTAATGACCCATCAGAACTAGTAACCTCGGGTGTATCCCACATCTTGGTCTTCTCCATCAACAAACACCCTCTTTACATATTCCTCCCATGATTTCAGAGCAGCAATCTTTGTCTTCTCTTTCATCGCATAGTATGCCGCAGAACCCAATCGCTCCTTAACGAAGCTCTCGAACCGGCGGTTCAAGAATGCAGAGCCACATAGCTCACCTTTGCTACGTCAGCATTCTCTCAGCCAGCAGGAGCAACAAAACAGACCTGTCCCAGTGACACTCTCCTTAACCTGCAGCGGGTCTGTTTGGAGGATTTCATACGAAATCAAATCCTGGAAAGGTAAGTCTCGCTTCACCAAATGTGAGGGATGTAACATACCACAGTGCCACCCCCGGCGTCACAAACCACAAAACAAGAATCATCCGTAACCTATACGTGCCCTCCAATCAGCAATAGCTTCCCGTACCCCACAATCAATACCAAACCCACCTGCAGGTTCTTAGGCTGCATGGTCTTTAGTGTGTATATAGCCGCAGCTTCCGGTTCCGAGATCAGTCTAATCTTGCACGACTTGGCCATGCCCGTCCCCTCCGCCGCCTGGAGCGTCGCATTTTTCGACCGGTCACTCCACACCGCCGGGCATGTAAGAATAAACTCGATCCTAGTGTTATCCACAAACGTACTTCCGAGCGCTCGTGTCAGCGTAGTGATGGTGTGATCGTATAGCATCTGCAAGTAATCCCGAACGACATCCTGCACGACTTTATCATGCTGTCTGAGCTGCGCATAGATATTGGGCAAGGAGACAAAGTCCGGGGGACGCAAGTTGGGATCTAGGCATAGCTTGAAACACTCGATGCAATTTTGAAAAGGCTTCACTTGAAAACCCCATTTTATTCCGTCCTTTTCGTAGGCAATCTTCGATGGGACTTTCGGGGAAGTCAGGTTCATTCCACCAGGCCAGCTCTAATTTGAGGTTTGTCAGGTTAGAACCCGAACACAAGGCTAGAAATGGTGTATGAACCTGAATAACGTGTATCTCGCTCGGCGATCCAGTATAACCCCAGGCCACCCTAAGTGTTGGCAGTCTATGTTAGTTCCCCGCTACTCCACCCGCCCCTCCCCGCTCCCACCGATCGCACGCATCATAGAGGAGTAGGAAGTAACGAACAAATGACACTCACCCGCTATAAGTTGTGCCAAAGTCCACACCAACAACGATCCTATTCGCTTCCCCAGAGATAGATACATCCTTGATCTTCTCGGCTATATTGCGTAGGCTAGTATCCGACTTTGGCGAGTTCATTGCTGGCCAAAAATAACAAGGGATCTTCGTGTTGAGAGATAGGTTCGGTGTTTTTGTTTTGGGGGAAAAGGTTTATGTTGCGGGGTTGTTTGGGCCAGCGGAGGGGAATGTTATTAATGGGGAGCGAATGTTTGTCTAGCCAGGAAATGACCAGGAGGAAAAATAAAAACCAAGAGTGAAAGCCCCACGTCGGTCCGCAAGCTTGGCTGATTGAACGGTTTTTTTTTATCTCGCTCTCTTTTTTCTTCTTCTTTGCACAAACTCTGCGTTATTAGTGGCCGTTGGAGCCCGATGCGCTGGTCCAATGGTTTTGGCCGGCTATTGCTGTAGACTGATTGGATTAGAAAATGGCCAGTCGGTTTGAATTTTGAGGAGATGGGATTGCCACTGGAGTCTGTGTCCCTTCTAGGAATTATTGGTGAGGTGGAGGTGGGGGGTTTGTGGTTGATACCGTGTACCGTACTTGTTGGTGGAAAATTATTGGATCAGGGGGTAGAAAGGGAATTTTACGGGTGTAGGAGGTGAGGTGGTGAGAGGTGAGGTTAGAGGTTGAAGGCGGCAAACAAAGCTGTCGTTGAAAACGCGGCCCCCCAATGTGGTATGATAAACGCTACGAAAGTCAACTCTTCAGTCCGGTTGAAGCCCCGCATCCTCCGCCTCCCAGATGCAATCCTACCGCAGGTCCAATACTCGAGTGAGAGAGTGTGACACCGAGATACCAAAACCCCAGAACTTTCACATTTTCTCACTCGTATCTTATGGGCGGGTAACAAAACTAGGTATGATAAATTTAGTCCTCTGCAAATACCGCATCCCTTCCTAGACCAATGAGTGCCGAGAAAAGTGGCAATCGAACGGGGAAACCCCGAACCGCTTAACCCGTAAAAGCCTCTAAGATCGGTGAGAAGATATGAGCAGGAGAAGAAGCAAAGGACATCTACAGTACTTGTGTATCATAATATAAGGTATCCGCATCGGAAGCCAAGTTTGGGTTTCAAAGTTCGAGGGGGACGCAGACCTTGTCGATTTACAAGTCATTACCAGGGGAATATTTCCCGACGGTTCAGCACGATTCGAAACACACGGTTGATTGAAACAGGCGATGCGAATATTTTTAGAGAAGCGATTGTATCAATTTTATTTAGCTCTAGAGATCGATGTTTTCTGGCGATTATGCTCGGCGTGCAGCTATGTACCATTAAAGTAGAGATTAAATGCAGGAGTAGAGAAGCTAAAATACTCGAGAGGATAAAATATACAGCTATAAGACAAACCGTGAAAACCCTTAATAAAAAAAATCAAGAACCTTTATACTTTGCACTTTTCCCTTGGTGCACCGGCGCTCCCCATCTAGAGCGCCTAGGAACGGTGGAAAAGTGAAGCACAAGAACCAAAACACAAGCCGCTATGAATGCATGAATGGTATAGCGCCCCATAATCCTCTAGCCAAAAACTAAAAACAAAAGAGATTAGTAGACTGCGGAAAACCTTCTAATATCCCTTGCTATCAGTCTATCGATACCGGTCTCCAACTCGCTCCGCCGATTCAATTCCGGCACCCCACTGGTTTTCAACGATTCCAGATATTGCTTCACCCCATCGACCTTCTCTACGGTGCCGATGGGCGAGCTGCGAGGGCGGGGTCTGGCGTTGTCTCCGGCAATGTCCATCTCGAAGTCTTTGACTGTAGCCTCCGCACTGTGGTCTTCCAATTCGAACACACCAACCTCAGCACCCTCTGCAATCACCTCTTCGGCGACCTCATCTGGGTATAGGGCATCGAGTCTACGGCGGTGTTCATCCAACACAGCTTGGTTCTCAGCATCTTTGCGGAAGTCATCGTCATCCTCGTCTTCGCTCCAAACAAACTCGTCAACACCGTTCGTTCCTCCACTGCCACCAGACCAAAGGCTACGCGAAGCCTGCTCCTCAACATCCAAAAGGTCAAGAATTTCGTTTTTACGCTCGATTTCCTTGACTATACCCGACGTACCAAACAAAGCAAGGTCAGCGCCAGTGGTCGAATCAGATGCAGCTGCGGGATTTGTGTTTCGTTGATCGCGTACAAAGCCGACAACACGTTCCCAGCGGGCAAGGCGGGTGTCTTTGCCGATCTTTGAAACAGCCTCAGCCGTCAAACGAGGACGCTTCTGGGGATTTCGATGACGCATAGAGTTCTGATAGGCGTGGTGAGGAACAACAGACAAGGCTGGAGCAATGGGTGGGCGGGAGGAGTAAATGGTTGTATTGCCTCTTGGCACAGCCTGTTCGGAGAGAAGAACCTGTTGAATTGGTGGGTTGATCTGGATAGGTGTGAGCAGAGCAGAGGAATTATGATGATGGTTGTGGCTATGGTGGTTAGGTGGAGGCCGAGAGGGGGGGGGGGGTGACGCAGGTAGGCAAATTGCTGGATGAGGATCATTAGGCGTCAAAACCATAAACGCCTGAGGCAATAGACATGTCGATGCCCTGGGTGTGGAATGGTGAAGGGTATAAGGCGAAGCCCTAAACGATTCGGGTTGGTGGTGAAGTGCCTGCGGAGCAGTTTGGGTTGAAGGGGAATTGAGCAGGTTCAATGCATGCCGGGCCGACCGTAAGGCTTGGGTCATCTCGGCGTGATTGTTGTTGTATTTCGCAGAAGGTAAATTTGTTTGGGGGATAGGAGGTGGGATTGGCGGTATTGGTTGCTGTTGTGCGCAGGAGGTCGGGGGTAAAGCACCAGTGGATGTGGTAGCGCCAGCTGAAGCGGCCGTGAGGTGGTGCAGAAGCTTAAGCTTCTTCATTGCGCTCGACATGATGGCTGCGAGTTAGGTAGCTGCTTCGTAGGACAGTTTGTGTTAGGGAGGGTGAAGTAGTGAAAGTACCGGAGGAGATTGCAATGCGGTAAGCAGAGTGTGAAAACAGTTTGTATAGATATTGGTTGAATGTTACCAGGCAAGGTAGAAAGAGGGGAGGGAGTCTTATAAGATGGACAAAAAGGAGATAGAAGGTATGAAGGATGTGGCAATATGGGAGCGAGTGGGTGTGCGCGATGAAAATGCAAGTAGGCTGGAGGAGAGAAAAAGGGGGACGTGGAGAGATAGGTGATAGGTGCAGGAAGAGGAAGGAAGAGAAGAGAAATGGTCGGAAACGGAAGGGCAACGAGATAATGGTATGATACGCGAAGAGAGGGCAAAGCAGAAACCAATGCCCGAGGCAGCAGCCAACCGACCGTCACTCTGCCTCAGTCACTGTCACTCTGAGAGTTTTTGATGTTCCCCGGCAGTGTGACACGCGGCTCCGGAAGTCAGGGGTGATGGGGTGAGATTAAAAATTTTTAATTATGTAAATTTAGTCGGTAGCCTAGATGTTTTCTCAGAGATAAGGTACGGTACTGTACTCGTGATCGTACTAGTACGGTACATAAATTACTGTCTGGAGCATAAGAAGCGACGCCTTCAAGAGCGGGTCCAGGTCCTGATACTCTAGTATATGGCTTACCAGGCTCCCGAAGATCGAATGCCACTGAGAAGTACCTTTGAAGTGCTCAAGCGCTCGCACAGTCAGCAGAAAGGGACGAGCAAATTCTCCTCACTACCGTAGACAACAAGAAGACGCCGATCCAATTCCTGCGAGCGCATCGCCTCCTCCCCCTCGCAACTTACGAACCCGATATCACAAGAAACACATACTAGTAATCTTTATTTCTACCGCACTATCTGGCGAACCCGGCCAGCAGGACAAATCAAATAGCATAGCTCACGAATCGAGTATAACTCTGTTACACACACCCCGATGTTTTGGCTCACTACCAACGAGGTTGTCACCTTTGATGTCTTTCCTCCTCCCATGCAAGCCTCGCCCCGCTGAGTCATAACCCCGGCGGTGCAAACACCTGACACCTTAAACTTTCCCATGCTGGACAACATGGGAATTATGAATGCCCGGGCCAGCTTCTATCCGCTGAGCCGCCTGAGATGGTGCACTTCGCGACCGGGCACGCTAGCGCTAGTCCAGATAGATGCCAGATTAGAATGTACGTACTTGTACCGGTGTGAGCAAGGGCAATTGGATAGGGTAGTCTTGGGGAGTTGTATGGTGTTTTCACCAGTGGGGTATGTCCCATATTAGTGAAGGGCTGGGTACTGTACTGTACACAGAATTTTCTGCACGGTCAGTGCCTTTATATTTTCTTAGCTAGACTTGCACACCACACCTTCTTCGTGGCACTCAATTCAACCTTCACTCCACGTCCACTAAGCCTTCCTTTATCGATTGATCTACTCTCGCCATCTCAACAATATTATATTACACCTGCTCTATCTGGAGTCAATTCCGCTGTTACTACCTTCCAGTATAATAAGCAGGTCCCAAGTGGCAATTCTTCAGCACAAGCGTGCCCGGTCAATCCACCGTCCGAAGCGGGAAGTAGCAAGAAAAATTCCCACACCGGTATCAAATTTAAGGGTGAATTAACCCAAGTCCAGATCACTCAGCGTCCGTGTATTTCTAGGAATTTTCCTTTCAAATGTTCAAGTAACTCAGCAACCATTAACAAGTACCAATACAATACGCTTCTCCTATGCACCCAAAACTGGATTGGCACGCTTAGTGGCGAATTGTGCTGTTCTGGACCGCTCAAAGGCACAATTTATAAAGTCTCGTGGCGGAAAGAAGAGCAATTATTCCCCAATCCCGCGATAGAGCACTCAAGTACGGTAGACAGAAAACAAAAGTCATTTTCCCTCAGTTTCTCCCAGCACTGTCGAGGTGCGTTTTTCCTACCCACACGAGTCTTATCGGAGAAACCAGCCCCGATTACGGGGAATCGGAGGTTAGACAGGTCACATACGTTGGGTTAAGAGGGAGTTATTTTCAGGCCTTGTTGTCGGGAAGGTGACCGTGAGCAGCCATGCGGCTGAAGGTGACAGAAATCGATCCCGAGGGCCCTACTTGCCAGAGTTGAGCGATACGCTTTTTGGTCGGTACTGCTTGGTCACACTGGACCTAGGTTTGCACGAGAGTCACTTTTCACTAGTCTTCCAAAGCCACCTTGAACCTCTTGGATCCTTTTGGTTCATGCTAGAGAGCAACAACTCTACTAACCTCACCCTCGCCGCCCGTGAAAGGTGGAGACGTTTCCGTTTCACAGCATCGAGAGGTGAGGGGTAGACACAGGTACAGTATCATGACACGTGCTGGATAAGGTAGCGAGAAAACAGGCCCACGAATTAACAAGAACAATGTCTGCTACAATCTCATAGAATGCACAATTCTTAGCAGAATGCCTTGATTACCCGTGATGGTCACTTTATTACTTGTCGAATGCGCGCATGTATGTATCGCTAGCATAATAGTGCTTGGAAACAATTTTAATCATCGTCACTCTGCTCGGAGACGTACGACTTCCATTTATTTTTTCTTGGTTTCCGTGACTAGCAAAGATCTTTGGCTTTTTGGGAAAACAAAAACATGGCTTTTCTTCCCGCAACGAGGCAGACTACAGTATGTTTTCCACATCCTGATACGGGTTATGCCCCGTGTTTTGGTCATATCTGTTGCACCATAGAGAGAAATACCGTACCCCGAGGTACCGGTAGTCACCTTCCCCGTCTTCATCCAATCACGGGTATTTGCGGAGGGAGATGGGATAGAGGCTGAGAGCCCCATACGGGAAACGCCGCTTGCGTACCGGTACATGGCGCTATCCACCTTCTCACCCTTCATTCTAGTCCTGGCCCACTTGGAATTGTCCAAAACTTTGGCCATCCTAGAAACACACCACTTCTTTAGCGCAAGCCCGCTGAATTTTTCCTTAGAGTTCAGTATGAGGTATTTCCGTCGTACGATCGTGACGAGATTTGGAAAAGTCTCGCGTTTTGTTTTCTGGAGCATTTGAGGTCGTTGGAGATACCTTTGAAGTATCTCCTGCTATTCGTGGGGTCGTTTCGTGACTGGTGATCCTGCAGGGTATTTTGACTCACCCATCAGCCGGTCTCTTCCATACAGTTGTACAGGGTTCCGCAGAGGTTTAGGTGCCGTCTGGATGAAGAGCGTTCGGAGAAGTCATTTGGTGTCGCTCGATCGGCTTTTCCTTAGAATCTTTCGGGTATTACGATACTGGTGATGATAATAACTACGAATATATCCACCCCCGGGGTACAAAATTCAGCCGGGTGTTTTTGCAGCCCGGCTCTGTTGGCAAGATCAAGCCTGATTCAGTATTGGTTATGTTCCAACAACTGCTTGTCGTTAACTTTACGGAGATATTCTCATGGATTATTTTGTTGAGGGTATGATACTCCGTAGCTGTCGGTGTTCCCTGGGACTAACTCTGGTGGTACTCGGATATGGAAGTAAAAATCGAGGACGGAAAGAACCCGGCTTTTTTTTTGGGGGAAGTATTGAGCTGGCCAGAATGGCAGAAGAGATCTGCATGCTGGGATGATGAAAAATCTGGATGAGAGCTTGGCGGATGCAACACAAGAAAATGATATCTGAATGATGTTAGAATGATAAAACACACAGAACCTGATTAGGGCTAGGGTTAGGAGTTGAGTAAATTGACTTAGAGACAGGAGATCAGACACAGAATGCAGGTCAAATCTACACAGCCAACATGATCAAACTGGTAGACATAGAAATAGTACCATCTACAGCAATGAAGCAAGTAACAAGGATACCAGTATAACTCAAGCTAAGAAAGAAAGGCTGAAATCATACCAGTCAGGAGGCAGTAGTACCTAAGAGGTACTGGCTACAACTGAGTAGCAGTCAATGTGCTGGTACATATGTACTAATATGTAATGATCCCCCTTCAGGTTCAGTCATGTCCGGAAAGTAATAATACTCCTCCACCGCAACCACAACCACCACCATTGATGAAATCAACCATAGAAAAAATAAAAGTAGAAACTCAATTAAAAGAAAACTGAAAGTAGATACAATAGGCTTTCAAAAAATCTTACTACCACTTTGTATGACCTCCTTCTGCATCCAATACAGCCTGAATTCTCTCTGGTACTCTAACTATCTACCCATCCAATGTCTTCTGAGAAATTAAATCCCACTCTTTCTTCGCTGCCAGAAATAATTCAGCAGCACTGTGGGGCCTTCTTTCCAACCTGGAGAATCGCTTTCTGAGGGCTCTTTTGAGAAGTGCCAAGAATTCTCAAATGGATTGAGATCTGGGGAGTTGGATGGACAAGGCAATTTCTGATAACTAGAGTCTAAGTGCAATTTCAGATTTTCTGCACCACCATACCATGAGGCATTATCTGCAGCTAGGTAGATGTCTTTAGAAGATCTATCAAGACCTTCTATAAAAGGGATGACGCAAGGCTGGTGGATCTCAGTTGCATATTGGTGGGAATAAAGGCCAAGTCTATCCCTTTTGCTAGTCTTTTCCTCCTCAGTCCTCTTCCTCACAAGAATTAACTCAGTCCTGCCACTCTTCATTAATGCAGTATAGATCCTAATGCTTATCCTTCTTGACTTAAAGCTAGATTTTATGCTTTTTTCCTCCAACTCTTCACAAGTCCTTATCCTGACCTTCCTCCTAGTAGGATTTAGATCATAGATAATTGTAGCTTCATCAACAAAGACCACCCAATTCCATACCATCCTTCAATTTCTCCTTTTTCAAGCAAACTCTTTTCTCTTTTACTTCTGTCCTTTCCTCCAAAAAGGCTTCTTCCTTGGTATCAAAAGCTTAAAACTAGCATCTAATATGATTTTATCTATACTGGTCTTGTAACGTGTTCGCAAGGTGCAAATCACGTTATCGGTAATAGATACGATAGTTGGCAGGTGGCCTACTCTTCCAGAGAGGAGGCGAGAGCTGAGAACTAAAGGAGGCTTTGAGGGTGTACTGGGGAACAAAGAAGTAACCGTTCAACCAAGTATATTGAAATACTGTCTGTCGAAGTCTGCCTTTTCCATCGTAGAAACAGGCGGTCTTTAAATACACAAATCTGTTCATGTCTAGCATGAACGAAACTAATCAAAGGTATCAATCGATACACTTTGGTAAAACTCTTTAAGTATCAAAGCGATACTTAAAACAAACCAAGTATCAAACGATACTTAAAATAAAACG